AAATGAGATTAAAAAAAGAAAGCTTGCCTTTTATTCTTTCTCTTGCAACTGAGATATTTTCACTTTAGGATTACAATATTATAATGGCAACTGCCTGCAAAAACTGCAGGGCTGTGGAAGAGTGGATTACTAGAGCTATCAGTAGAGAGAGGAATTATATCAGATTTACTTAAGAAAATGGTTGAGGAATTGGGCAGTATGTTAGCTGAATCACTTGATACTAAATTGACTAAATCAGTTAATGCTAAATTGACAGCTTTTGAAAAAAGAATGGATCAAAGACCTGTAAAGATAAAAGGCCAGACGGAGAAGTTAAGGAGAAGGAAAGCTCTGTAAAACAAATGTCTGGAGATGTGAAACAGGTATCTGGATTTGTAAAACAGATTAATGACAAAGTAGAAAATCTGGAATATAAAACAGAATTTATACAAGTAATCCTTGATTTATAAACACAGTTGGGACCAAAATTTCTATTGCTAACCAAGCTGGTTAAGTAAGTTGTGTTCAGTTTTCTGACTTTTTAGCCACGGCTAGTGAATCACTGCAGTTAAGTGGTCTTTAAGCAAATCTAGCTTCCCCTATTGACTTTGCTTGTTGGAGGCCAGCTGGGAAGATTGCAAATGGCAATCAAATGCTCCTGGGAGTTTGCAACTGTCATAAGAACATGCTGGTTGCTAAAATTCTGAATGATTACATACATCTAGACCAAAATGGATTTCTCCCAAATAGACAAATTAGGAACAATTTAGAATAATAATGGATAGTCTGGAATATTATGAAGCTCACCCGGAGAAACAGGTAGCCCTTGTTTTCTTGGATGCTCAAAAGGCTTTTGACAACCTTAATTGGCAATTTATGATTCAGCAAATTTATAACATGAATTTCGGCACCAAATTTGAGAATATTATAACAGCAATTTATTCAGTACAAAAAGCAAATATCATAATAAATGGAGAAAATACCCAAACTTTAAATATAAAGAAAGGAGTCCGACAAGGTTGTCCGCTGTCCCCTCTGCTCTTCATATTATCATTAGAAGTACTATTAGAAAGAGTGAGGCAAAATCCTGAAATAAAAGGATTGAAAACTAGAAATGAATATAAACTGCAAGCATTTGCAGACAATATGGCTTTTATTACTGAAGACCCAATAGAAAAAGGACAAATATTAATTACGGAATTAGAAAGATATGGAGCGGTGGCAGGATTGAAAATTAATAGACAGAAAATGAAACTTTTAGCAAAAAATTTAACAGATCTACAAACAATAGAATTAGAAAGAGTACTTGGACTTCAAACAACAAGAAAAATTAAATACCTGGGAATATGGTTGACAGCACACTGTAAGGCGATAAAGGAGAATAATTATAATAAGCTATTACAACAAACAAAAAAAGACTTAGAATTATGGACAAAAATGCAACTATCATTACTAGGAAAAATAGCAGCCATAAAAATGTCTATATTACCAAAATTTCTTTATCTATTCCAAACCATTCCAGTTAAATTAGAAAAGACCTTTTTTGATAATCTTAATAAAATGACAACAAAATTTATTTGACAGGGTAAAAAACCCAGAATAAAAATGAAATTACTGCAAAATATGAAGAGCAGAGGAGGCTTTGGATTGCCAAATTGGGAATTATAGTGCAGCAACATTAATTTGGCTAAAAGATTGGATTAATTTAAAGAATAAAAGAATATTAACTATAGAAGGTCATGATCTTGAGAGAGGATGGCATGTCTTTCTTTGGGACACAGGACCCACCAAACAAAAATATTTCCACAGACATCTGATTAGAGATTCGCTGATATACAACTGGATCAAAGTTAAAAAGAAACACTATATAAAAATCCCAATCTGGCTGTCTACAATGGAAGCGACAATCCACCCAAATAATTTAGACTTGAACAAAATGTTAAAGTATAAAGACTTATTGGATACACACAAAAACTTAAAAACAATACAGGAGCTCCAAGAACAAGGGCTACGAGTAGACTGGTGGACTTATCTTCAAATACAAAGCCGATATAAAAAGGACATAAAGGAGTATGGAATATACTTGAAACCTCAACAATTGGACAAAATCTGATTAGGCCCAGATAAAAAAAAAATTACCAAAATTTACAAGTATCTCCTAGAAGTAGATTTAGAAGAAGAAGTAGTGAAAGGATGTATGATTGCATGAAGTCAAAATATTGGTCATAACATAAAGATATCAGACTGGGAGACTGTATGGAATAGAAGTCACAAATTAACAAAATCAGCAGCATACAAAGAAAATGCATATAAAATGTTCTATAGGTGGCACTTACCCCCTTCAAGATTAGCAAAAATGTACCCTAAAATGAGTCCTACATGTTGTAAATGTAAAAAAAAAAAAAAAAGAGGGAACATATCATATGTGGTGGTCCTGCCCAGAGGCTCGAAAATATTGGCTCAAAATCAAAAAATGTCTACAGGAAATCACCAATGAACAACTAGACCTAGAACCAGAACTCTTCCTATTGGGGATCTTCAAAAAAAATACGTAAAGAGCACAAAATACTTATTACACATATTGACTGCTGTCAGGATCGCCTTTGCCCAATGTTGGAAACAGCCATATACATCCGTAGAGGAACTGGTTATACAAAAAGTTATGAATTGTGCTAAAATGGATAAATTAACGCTGAGTTTAAAAGATAAGGAAGCTTCAATATTTTATAAGGTGTGGGAACAATGGTATAGCTGGATAGATTGGAGACAGATTAAGGATAAGTAATTATTAAATATAGAATATAGATAGAATAAGAATATAATTATGCACAAATTAATACCTGTAAATATTGAACAAATGATTGTTATATGATAAGCACCACAAATAGCTGTTATTGAGTGATATATTTTTTATATTTTTAATGTAATAAAAATTCAATAAGGTTTATTAAAAAAAACCCGAACATGCTGGTTGCTAAGTGTCCAAATTTTGATCATGGGACCATGGGGATGCTGTGGTGATCATAATTGCGAAGACCAGTTGAAAGTTGAGGAAAGAGCTAGAAAGAGAACTAGATAATTTGGCACTGCTAGCATTGAGGGAGAAAAAATTGTGATCTCGAGCAATTTCACAGGATTCTGGTAAAAGATATTAGAGAAAAGGTTATGAAAGCTTCAGCAATTTTGGGGGGGATTGGAATGAGGAAGATACAAAGGCAGAAATAGATAAAGTATTTAGAATAAATACAAAATTTGTGAGAATAAGAAATGTTCCAAAGAATGTCTTGATGCACTTGGCAGGAAGAAAAAAAAGATCAAGTTTTGCAGCAATGTTTTAATACAAGATGGAAAATTGATGATACAGATGTAATTTTTCTTAAATTCCTGTTAAAATCTTGTGTGAGAGAAAAGAGTATTCTTTTTTGACTGATTAAAACAAAAAAGTTCCATTTTGATGGGATAAATTTGGAAGGTGTGATTTTTATTGTTAAACAGCAGAGGTTTTGGCTGAATTTTGGTTGCCACAGAAACAATAGTTGAAAAAATAAAAAAATAATGTTTTGAAAATAATGTAAAAGAGGGTACTGATTTAAGAACTCTCCCCCCCCCCCCCCCCCCCAATTTCCAGATATTAGTTCAGAGCACAAAATTCATATGGCAGTTAGTATCTGCTAGATCAGGTGTCAAACTTGATTACACTGAGGGCCACATCAGAGTTGTGTTGGACCTCATGAGGCTGGGGTGGGTATGGCTGGGGTGGGCATGGGCAGCTCGACGTCACTCATGTCAGGGGCACCTGTGGTGGCCCGAGCGCTCTGCCAGCGAAAACGGGCTCCCAGCTCCATTTTGGGCTGTGACAACTTCCTGCAACCCTCTGCCAGCAGAAACAGAACTCGGGAGGGTCGTTCTGCTGCTCTGCTTTCACTGGCAGAGGGTTGCAGGAGGCCATCGCAAGCAAAACAGAGCTCAGGAGCCTGTTTTTGCCTGCAGAGGCACCGTGGGTTGGTCCTTCGCTGTTTCCAGGGTGGCCCTGCGGACTTTCTAAGCACCCTGCGGGCCGGATTTGGCCCTCGGGTCTTGAATTTGATACTCCTGTGCTAGACTTACATAAACTAGGTTTTTCACACCTCAAATAGGCAAATGAATTATAACTTTATTGTTATGATATTTTTCTGGTTTCCTCTTCATAACTGAAGTTAGTAAGTACATTAGTACTGATTATATGTTGCTGAATATGTTGTTTCATATTATGCTTGAAAACAAGAATTGATTTAAAAATGCTCTGCTTGCTATGAATGTCATGTGTATGAAATTACAATAACTCAAATGAGACTTTATTTATTTATTTTATTTATTTGATTTGCCAATTGTTTACAAGATAATAAGTATAAGTGTATACATAGTTGTGAATACATGAAATGGGTACATATAAGAAAAATAAAAGAATAAGAGAAACAATAGGACAGGGACGGTAGGCACGTTGGTGCGCTTATGCACGCCCCCTATACTTGCCACAATGATCTATCTATTCAGTTCTAAATGTGTCTAACCATCTCTGTTCTTTTCTCTTGCCTTAACTGAGCCCAGGTATGAAGGGATGTACTAGGCACAGATAGTAGGGAAATTTGATTCTGTGACACACAGCAGTGCTTACAGATTTGATTTTTTTCCCTTAGAAAAAATATTTCATCTTGTATGATTGTAGTGCCTATATTGCTCCTGCCTATACTTGAGCTGGTACAGTTTGATATTTCTAAGGGTATAGTGCCATCACTATGAATATTTTTGAAATACAATTGACTTTAAGGTCTGTCACTATTTATGAAGCATCCCAATGTTAGAGTTATATAGACCTTTCCATAGGAACTTTTTCATCTGAAGCCTCCCACATATTTTCTAATTTGCTATTGTCTTAATTGCTTTCAGGGGATACAAATGCCAGTGAGAAAAAGTGTGTTTGTAAACAACTTTCCAAAAGGAATAAATTATAATAGGGTGTTTTGGTTTTTTTGCATATTCAGGTGACAGAGTAATAGATGTAGGGTCAGAATGGCGAACATTCAGCAATGACAAAGCAACTAAAGACCCATCTCGAGTTGGAGATACCCAGAATCCTCTCCTTAGTGATGGAGATTTGACTACAATGATTGGCAAGGTAATATATAAATGTTTAACCTTGCAATGAGTGAATGTTTCAATGTTCAAATTATATTGCATTAACAAAAATACTGCTAAAGACAAATTTCTTAGTACTAAGATGAAATGCTTTTGTTTTGATAATTTCTTGTTATTTTCACTTCTTCAACAGTATTAGATAGTCTTTTTCTCTCAATATGAAGAGTGTAGGAAGCAAAGAAAATGTTCATTTGTTTTTGTTAACTTTGAATTCTTTGGGAAATTTATATTAGAAATTTAGCTTCCTTAAACTTCTTCATCTTTGGTATGTCCAGGCCTAATTTTTACAAATTGGATACTCTCCTGGTGCTAATAATCAAACTAAGATTCTTTCACATACGAAGAAATGTCTTTTCACTGTGGAAATTTCAAAGTATTACTTTTTTTATCTTGTTTGCAAAGTAGAGACAAAAGTAACATGTTCGCATACTTTACACATCTACAACATTTTTCACTGCAAGAACTTCCAGGGTTAGTTTCCATAAGAGGAAGAACTATTGTAAATCAGTAGATGAACTATACACTGTAAGTTTTCACCTTTCCAAGACAATTTGAGGAATTACGAGTGGCTAGAATGCTTTGCTTTTAAGAATTGTTAGGATTAAGTAATTTTGGGGGGTACCGAATGCTTGATAAAATAGATTATGCTTTTGCCCAGGTAAATCAGTGTGCATGAGGACTGTTGGGCTAAAGATGAGATGACCTTCAAAAGGAACTCCATAATCTGTACATAGGGATGTGGCCAGACTCTAAAAATTCAGATTCTTTTTGTAGTAGCTGTGTTCCTTACACATCATTTTCTGCACCTGTGCAAAACCCCACTGTGAAATCTTCTAGAGCTTAAGAAATTTTGAATGGAGTCTTCACTCTCCCTTGATTGTCATATAAAAGACAAAAATAAAAAGGATAAAAACCTAATAATAAACCTGCTGAATGATATTTTTGAATTTTGTGGCAATTGAACATTACTCGTAATGTTTTTTTTAGTTCCTGCCCGGACAATAACATCTTAAACTCCCCACCACCACCATAGTCCCCTGATAACCTGCAAGAAAGTAACCAACTACATTCATATTATCCCTTGGTGGCCTCCACAACCATGTTTACTTGAAGACATTTACAGTGGGCCAGCTGTAAATATGATCTCCCCAAATGCTTGGGTTGGCTGTCCTTCCATCAGTGATAAGTGTATCATTTGAACTTTAATCTGCTCTATTTCATGATGTGGACATTTTGGCCATCGCTCTTTGACTCTCAGCCAGATAAGATTCTGCTGTCTTTCAAGAAATCCTCTTCCTTAAGCTCTTTACACCAAAAAGTTTAGGCATTCTCATTATTTGAGAAGTCTGTGATGTTGGATTGTTTATGTTTCAAATTTAAAGGAAGTGTGGTTTAGCTTATCTTCACTGAAAGTATACATAGCAGCTGTTTTATCATTTAACCTGTTTGAAGTTTTGTCCTTTTATGTGTACTCTGAGTTATAAAGTTTGATACATTTTCAAGTTCCAGTAACCCTTCCAGTTTGACACATTGTTTTATTGATACTATTGACATTTATGTCAAAATCTTTTGAACTGATGGCTGATATAAATGTTATTTGTAGGGGTTTTTTTTCCCAGCTGCTATCACAGTATCCCTCCTTACTGGAGAAATGCATGTTTCGCACAGGCATGCACATTGTATCCCCCTGTATACAAACAGAGTGGTCTTCTACTGAAGCACAGGTTTTTTTTGTGTTTTTTTTTGCCAGAATCTATATCTAAGTGACATAGTCAACAAAACATTGTGTGCTAGCCTTGGTATATTATGCTATCAATGGAGGACGAACTCCTAATTACTTCTTCCTGGCTATTAAGAACATTTACAGGTGTACTAGTTCACTGTAATTAGACTATTGCCATATCATTGTTCTGGGAAATGGTTAAATGCTTTCCTCAAAGTCAGCTCATTAATGGAATGGTGATTGGCTTACTGGGCTATTCATATTTTCAAGAAAGCCTAAAAGTGGTTATAGTGATAGGATTGGACGTTTCCGCAGTTTAATTTCTGCAGTTTAATGTCGCAATATTGTTGGGTATTTTGGAGTTTGCAGCCCCTCATCCTCAAAGTTCTTTCTCCTTCCATGGAATTCATACAGATTCCAAGGGTTTGTACAGAAGAGAAACAGAAACGTTAACATTTACTTCAGCAAAACTAGGGAGTGATTTTTAATGGTATAGTGAGTATAAAATGAACTAAGCCTCCTTAATCTAGTAGCCAGAGAGTGGTCTTTAATTTTTTTTCTTTTTCAGACTGCATTGAATCTTCTTCCTCTAGGGTACAATTTAACCTGTGTGGCTAAACTCAGTAATTCCATAAGCACACAAAAAGGATAAAAGTGAGTGTATTTATCTCAAGGGAGGGGCTGGACACCAAAAGCTATAGCAGGGTAGTACCTTTCTTAGAATCAACCAACCAAGGTACACCTGAAGAGTATGTAAGCTTTTCAATTTTCTAAGCTCTCCCTCAGGCATGGTGTTTCAAAAAACAAACATACCTGATTCCCCCACTTTCCCTGTCTTTCTTTTCTTTTTCTTTTTAGTAATGCTTGGTACACAGTTCTGGAGAACTAGAGTAACACTTTGTATAATATTTTGGTTGCCCTGGTAAAGGTCTTACTCTGTTAGAGATTTTGTCTCTCTCCTACACATTGAACATTGTATAAAAATAAAGGTATTTTACAAGATTGTGAAGTATATACGATCAGCAGCTACTCTATTAGGCAGTTTTTTTTGCAGTGGACAATAGTTTGACAAATAGAATGGTCTTGTTGATAAGAAGGAGAATGTTAAATGTTGTTTTATTCTAAAACATTATAGTTGATACTGAAATTGAAGCCATAAGCTGAGCTGTAAGACTCTGGGGGAAGAAAGGGTCATGATGGAAGGGATTCCTCCTGCTTCTGTTCCGGAGGCTGCCTGTCACTTTCTCAGAGGTCCTGCTTAGATAGCTCTCCTTTGCCATTGAGTTTCTCCATCCGGTGCTCTCTGTCGTTTTTTGGACTGCAACTCCAGTTGACCCAGCCAGTATGAATCAGGCAGGGAGGAGAGGGAACATTCTTGTGCTGGCAGTTTGTTCTTTCAAATACTTCCTCCACCCAGAGCTCTACTTTCACTCTTTGCTTTTTATTTTCTGGATTGTGCAGGGTCCAGTTTTAAGAAATTTTAAATTTTTGTAAGCAACAGAAGGGTGGCTCTTTTTCTCCCCACACTTATTTAATTTTTTTTTCCCAAGAAAAGATAGAAATAACATATGTATATGTATGTGTATGGTTCCTTATCCTCCTGGTTTCTGTCAGACAATGACATACATAAGATAATTTAAACCAACAGTACTCCGTTCCAAATGGGGTTTTTTTTTTTTAATGAGCTGACCAGTGGCAAAGCTTATAGTTCCCATCTGTGGAGTTTAATAGAGAAGGCTAATAATTGTTCATACTTGCCTGTTGCAGAAGACCAGCAGGAAGACAGAGAAAATAGGTGACTTCTGAAATTTCTACATTTTTGATGTGCTTTTAATATGAATTGTACATAGACAATAATGACTAGTGATGAAGTAAGAAACAATGACCTCCTAAATATATTTAAGTCATCGAGATTCTCTCTGGTTCTAAATCAATATTAAGCCATCTTAAGAGAATGCACAAAGCAAAAAAAATTGTTCAGCGTTTGGTGGGATTTTTATAGAAGTTACCTTTCTAATATCAGAAATTTATTCAGTCCATGCTTTAGATCCTGTGCTAATATATGACTTAGTTGTACATCAGTCTGAAGCCCCTGGGATTAAATTCCATTTTAGCTGTTCCTTTTTTTCTTTGTAATGTGGAATTTACTTAGAGCTTATTAATATTTCACCGTTTATACAAACCAGATAGGCAACTGGTTTCTAAATTGGAGGTGCTAATTGCTTGTGAAAGGATAGCTCTTGAAAATGAATGGAATGAACATTATAAAGGACTTTACCCTTACATAATACGTGCTTTCCAGATTTTAAGTCTGTTCTGTAGTCCATGTTGAGATAACATATTCATTTCTGTTTCACTTGTGCTTTGCTGATAATCTCATTATTAGGTAGTAGTAAAAAAGGGGTATTTAAGTTAGTTGGTGCTTTGTCTTCTAATTCACCTTGCAGTAGGCATGCATACTACCTGTATTTTGTGTGGATGTAAATGTGTTCCTCAACCCCTTTTCTGCAGGGGACAGGTGCGGCTAGTTTTGACGAATTTGGGAATTCAAAGTATCAAAATCGTCGTACCATGAGCAGTTTTGACCGTGCAATGATGAACGCCTTCAAGGAAATTGCTAGCATGGCCGACAGAATCAACCTGCCCCGCAATATAGTTGTAAGTCATGCTTTGTCCTCTTTTTCCGGCGTCATTTAGCGTAATATAATGAACAGGAGCCTTTCTGATATTATTGCTAATTAATCGACCTGGAGTTAATTGAATTTTGTCTGCTTGCTTTGAAGGATCGAACAAATAATTTATTTAAGCAAGTGTATGAGCAGAAGAGCCTGAAGGGGAGAAGTAATGATGCCATTGCATCCGCTTGTCTCTACATTGCTTGCAGACAAGAGGGAGTTCCTAGGACATTTAAAGGTAAGAGGGTTGGGGGCAACATAGCTTTTCAACAGAGGACCCCCAGCCTGTATCATCTTTTTCCTTCTGAATGCAAATACAGTGAACCTTGTACAGGTAATCCTCACCTTAAGACCACCATTGAGCCCCAAACTGCCTCTAGCAGGACAGTTGTTAAGTTTTACGATCCCATTTTACAATCTTTCTTACCACAGTGAATCACTGCAATTGTTAAGGTAGTTGTGAATCTGGCTTCCCCCGTTGACTTTGCTTGTCAGAAGGTTGCAAAAGGTGAACACATAACCCAGGACACACAAAGACATGGTGGTTTTAAAGCATCTGAAATTTGATGGCGCAATGCACGGGGATGCTGCAATGATTCTAAGTGTGAAAAACGGCAATAAGTCACTTTTTTCAGGGCTGTTGTAACTTTGAATGGGTTAGCTTAACAACAACAATTCACTTAACGACTGCAGTGGTTCTCTTAACAACCGTGACAAAAAAGTTGTAAAATTGAGTGCTGCTCATTTAACAGTTTCCTTCCTTAGCAATGGAAATTTTGATCCCAATTATGGTTATAAGTTGAGATTTTAGCTGCATCTATCTAATGCTCCGTCCTCCTAGTTTTCCCCATAAGAACCACTCTGTGAGGTGGCTTGACTAGAAGAGAGAGATTGGCCCCAGCATCAGCCAATTGGCTTTCATGCCGATGGAGGACTAGAACTGTTAAGGCTCCCAGTTTTTACTATGCCAATCAGTCAATTAATGAATGAATCAGTCCAATTATTTATTAGTTTGACTATTGGTCAAGGATAAAACCTGTACCAAAGTGGCCAGCTATTCATAAAATACATTAAAATGTAAAAACACAATAAGTAAGAGCATGCCAAAGTACTTCTCTGTTCTACCAAAGCCTGTTGTTAGCTTGCATGACTCTTATTTGGAAGACCATCTCTCCAAGCAATTGAAAGTTTCCATGCATTTTTGTATCTTATGCTTTGTAATGCATTTCTCTAAGCTTTGAAAAGTTCAAGGTTACAGCAGATTATATGCAGTTTATATACATTTTTTTCCATTTTGAGGGTTTTTATTCTTTTCAAAATGAAAATTAATGAGGAAAAACTGATGCAAGGAAATGAAGACTTTCATTTCCCCCATTCCAAAGGCTGTTATTATTCTTTGTTGTTTTGAACCAGACAAGTATTTTCACTTCCATTATCTTTTGCAGAAATTTCAATTTTTTAAAAAAATACTGCTGATGTCTAACATGTGTGTGCCCCTGTGTGTGTGTGTGTGTGTGTGTGTGTGTGTGTGTGTGTGTGTGTGT